TCTTTTTCAAAATAAAAAAAATTACTTTATTTTCGTTTATTGTTTTAGTTTTTTTTTTAAGAAGACTTAAATGTAAGTTTTGTTATATCATTTTTTTACTTGCATAATGAATAATGTATGAACAATGACGATATGGAAATAGCATCATGATTTTGAAAAAGTTTGATTTTTAATTTAAATTTCAAGAGAATGACATTATAAAAAATTAGCAAGCATGTTTATATTTTTATGAATAAAAATAATTACTAAACAAGTAGTTGGATTTTATTTCTTAAAAAAACCTCAAAACAACGATAAATAAAAGTAGTTGGATTTTATTTCTTAAAAAATCTCAAAACAACCATAAATAAGAATGAGTTACTGACTTCTTGTTTCTTTATTATTCTTTAAATATTAATCTTTACTTATTTTAAAAATTAAAAATAACACAATGTTTTTTAATATCTTGCTTCTTGACATAATTAAAGTAAAACTTCAAATTTCTTTATTTATAAATGGAAAGAACCATATTATAAAACAAAATAATAAAATTGCATTTGACATAATTTGAAAAAAATGGTTAGATGAAAAATTATTTCACGTAGCTTCTAACCATTGCAATACACTTTTCATTTTCACAAATATTAGATATATAGTAAAAAATATATATGGTTAAAAGGTGTATTTCAATTATTTTCTTCATATATCTTTGGCAATATAAAATATAAAAGTAAATATAAAAGTGGCAGTCACATCGTGTCACTCATATTAGATTATCTAAAATAATTCTAAAGTAGTTTTAAAATTTCAATAAAAACAATCAAAAATTTTATTTAAAATAAAATAATCCTATTCTCAACATGACCGACGAATATACTAAAATTTAGAGGTCGTGTAGAAATATAATTAAAAAAACACCATGCATAAATATCTCTATATTCCACATAAATATTTGATCCATTTACCAAGAAAGAATGTCGAAGAGTCAAAAGCCCTAGCAGCCCACTTCCGAGCTCCCGCTTCAAATGGGCCCGTGATTGGGCTCGGTCGGCAAATTGGGCCCCGTCAATTTATTGACCTCAGGCCCAATAAACATAAAAAATCTCGCTCTATGGACCTAATTATTCGGCCCATTTCAGAAGAAGACGAAAAGGTTGGAACTTTCGAGAAAGGATTCAAAATTGCTCTTCTTTTTTACCTTTTTCACATGCACATGGAAATTAGGGTAAAGACGTGGTTGCATGACACGAGAATCGTAAAAGAGCTTTTTTTTTTTCCTTTTTTTTCTTTTTCATTTTTTCGCAAAGGGAAAAAAAGGATTTATTTATTTTGCATGGGCCTCCTGATTGGTTAGGTGCACCTTACAAGAAATCATGATCTTATAATTGCCTCCTAAAGCCAACCTTCTGGCCCCATTTACTTTTTTTTTTCTTTTCTTTTTAAATCTCTCTCTGCTTTTCATTTAAAAAAAAACTCCAACCAATTACCCCTTAAAACAAAATTATAACCCTAAAAAGCAAGCCCTCCTTGTCGCCTTCCTCACACTTACATATTCTCCATCTTCTTCGACCCGACATGTGAACTACAATGTTATTTTACTCTCGGGAAGAATACAGGTTCCCTATGAAGTATAAATTTGATTGAAATATTGTAATTTTTAGATAAAGTGTCAAGGATGCCACGATAAAGAATCTTACAAACATTTATAATAGATTTGTGTTACTTTTCTCATTATTTGTTTTGAGATGGAACCCTATAAATATTGGTTCGATATCAAAGTCTAAAAACTTAAACGAGCATCCAATCAAAAAATAGGATCTAACAATGATCTTGAAGGGACATGTTAACGATCCTACCTTGAAAAGATAAGGGAGGGTTGGGAGTACAATTATAACCATCTCTAAATCTTTCATATAATACTTCATTGTTTAGGAAGAGATATACGATCCGAATCAAAATCCAACCCACAAACCTAAGTTAACACCGACTTTTAGACGACGAGAGATTGTAGTGCGTGGTTGAGGTTTACCATCAAGCTTTCTCTTCAACAAAGTTAAAAGAAAAGGACTAAAAGAAACAACAAATGGTGGCAATGGTGGCGCCTACTTTGAGCCAATGGGCTCTCAACATCACTTTAATAGTATACAAAATCCACAACACTGTGCGTCTTTTGGGTCAATTTGTTCTTTTTTACAGAGAAAGCATGCTGCCCAAGTCAAATCACTTTGCTGTCTTTGAGCCAAAACAAAACAAAAAAAGAAAAAAAAAAGGGTTTCACTTTCAATCATTCATTACTTTCCTATAAACCCAAACGATCAAGTTTTGCGGTTTCTTTTTTTGCTCAAAAAAGAAGTATTTTTTTTCTTCCTTTTCTCCTTTACATTGCACCAACGTTTGTTTGTTTTTCAAAGTGATAGCAACGTATTATAAGGTTGGGTCGGAAATTGTGGGCTGGGTTTGGTTTTGAAGCCAATATGTAAAATTAGTCAAAGAATAAAATGATCTTAAAGATTGTGTGACATTGTAGTGAAGATCTTTTGGCCCGGAGCGAGAATGGCCATGGGATCAAATATGGCTTTCCTCTCTACAAACCTACTCCATTGTTTCCCAAAGTGATGCTTCCACTCCTCCTCCGAATGGTAGTGCGGCAAGTAGAGCTTGAACTCGATTTTATTCTCGTTACATACACGTATAATTTCTCGGTTTTCGTTCACCAATTTGTCGACCAATGCAGCTTTCGGGTTCGGGGGAGTGAACCGAAGCAATGCCACGAGGTAGAACACTTCGCCTTCTGGTAACACCGTCGAAGTCCGGGAATCCCACCTACAAAACCCAATAATTAATGTTTTAGAATAGGAAAAGGAAAATATATAATTTTCGAAAATTTCTCTCTTATAATTCTCAGATATTCAAATGGTATCGTGAGCTGTATCGTGCTTGGCGAATTAAAAAAACCTTGTCGTTTCACAAATAGCAAAAATACTGACTTGAAAGTTGCATCGCTTTTGTTTCTTCCGTTGGCCGGTGAAAGTTACATCTCCCGGAAAATCCCATTTTCCTGAAAAAAGTAATATTCTCATTGACCAATTTGCCCCTGCCCTACACTCACTCACCTATAAAGGCAAGTCCTTTATTTAACGCCCCCCATAATAAGGTCAGCAAATTACCTCAATTTCTTTTTTCACACCCCAAAGTATGGGCCCCACAATATCTTTGTCCCACAAGTACAAGTTTTCTAATTTTTTTTAAGTTTTTAATTCACACATTTGACATTATCATTATTATTATTGCTATGGTATAAATGTGTTATTATCTTATTATTAAAAAAAAAAAACAAACAACGTTAAATTTTGAAAGGTTTTAAAGAGATTGTTGGAGAAGAAGGGCACACGTGTGAGAGCTTTGAAGTCCCACGTGCGTGTAGAGGGGTTTGACCTACGCTCAAATCTTAACGACCCAATCTAAAGCGTTCAGCAATTTGGTCAGCATATCAGAACGAAGGGGTCAGGACTCAGGTGACTTAAGGTTTAAGCCAAAACGTGACCGTTTTAGGGCCCATCCCCCCATCCCCTGCCCATGTGCGCAACACGTGTCGACGACAGAGTCAGTTCGTGGAGAACGTCGTCGTTTAGTAGTGAATCCCGACTGGACATTTGGCCAACTCATACGTGGCAGGCATGCTTGGCAATCCAGACAAAACGAAGGCGTCGTACAAATTTCTCTCTTTTTTTTTCTTTTAATAAAAGCAGTAAATTTTAAAAATATATATTAAAAATAAGGGTAATAGTTACCTGCTGCGCAGGAGAGGGTAGACGAGCATGGGCCCACCAACCCCATTTTTGAGGAGTGTCTTGAAGACCGCACGATCAAAGTTGGCGATGTGAGATTTTGACACGAAGAGGTTCAACCAGGGGTGAGGAGCGTCCCACACGCCGTTGGCGATTGCTTCCTCCTCCGCACGCTTCACACGTGAGAGAAACTCTATGTAGCTGAGGTCCACCTGGAATCTGAGCGGCTCTATATACCCGAGCCCGTCCAGGAACCTGTGAACGGCCTGCAGAAAACACAAGGAAAGCGGGGCGTTTCCGTCATTTCACTCAAAGCAAAAGGACATCCCACTCATGATTTACAGATTCCAGAAAATGATGGCTTTTTGGCCACTTGTGGGAACTTATGGGGACCATTGTGTCAGCAAAATCTCAAATGATCAGTCTGAATTTACGAACCTACCCCGGAGTCCCGTGAATAATTACCAAGGCACCCCCCAAACCCACAGTAGAAAAATGAAATAAATCAAAACCAACAGTGCCATCCTCGTAATTAGGAATAGATACTCTGGGCATTTATGGGAGGCGCCCAGTGTCAGAAAATCCAATGGAAGATACATTATATCGTATTGTCAGTATTCATTTTTTGGAGTAGAAGCTTTGTTTTTCCCAAACTAAAATAACAGCCTCACAAAATTAAAATTAAAATTAAATACCCAATACCCCAATTTTATTTTAATTTAAAAAAAAATAACTAAAAAAAGGAAAGGTCGTGGGTTTATGGTTTGGATAATGATGAGTGATGAGCAGCAAGAAGAAGAAGAAGAAGAAGAAGAAAGGGGTGAAAGGGCAGCCCCACGAAGACAGCCCCCCTAGTTTTGGTACACGTACGAGTGAGTGGTTTTGACCTTTTTCACCCCTGATTCCATGGTCAAAAATCACCCCCACTTCTTCACTCACGTCAATAACCCATTCATTCTTTTTATGACAATTATACGTGTGTGTCTCCCTATAAACATTACATACTCGACCCCACACCCACATCCAACGCTCACAATAATCTCTAATCTCTAATCTCTCTCTCCATCATCACATAATAGAATCATAAAATCAAAATTTAAATTTAAAGGACGGTGGTTTATTGTTTAATTAGTGTTCTTTTTTATTTTTTACCGTGTCGACGGTTGAGGTTTGGTCGGTGTTCCGGTAGTGGACGGCGACTTCGAGGCAGTACAGGACGGTGCCGGCGGTTTCCGGTACGTGGGCTGAGTCGAACTCGGCGTCCGGGTCCAACGGCACTGTCGGTCTTCCGGTTAACGGGTCGTCGTTGTTGGAGAATACGAACCCTTCCACGTAATCAAACGACTCGCCTTCCGGCCGCCGCACCAGCGTCTCCGCGTCACGCGCGAACGTTTCGAACTCGTCGTACACCAATCTAATCCATCTCACCTAATTAACAAAAAATAATTACGTAACGTAAACGTGTCGCCGCTCATGCACCGGATATTGAACAACAAAATTAAACGCAGATGAGAGAAAATTGAGAGATTTTAAGTATTGGGAATTTGAATTACGGACCATATCTGGGGCTGGCTGAAGCAAAATACGGGCTCTAGTGATGATCCCGAACTGGCCCAAACCACCGAGGACGCTGAAAAACAATTCCGAATTTTCGGATTCGGAGCAAATTAGAGTGTCGCCTTTTCCAGTCACGACTTCTAATTCGGCCACGTTGGATATCT